TCTGCTGTAGGGGGCGGCGTCCGCAAATCTTCCGACATGGGAGACATAGTCGAGTCAGAAGTCAATGAAGACATCTGATCTGTTCCTCCGGGACTACACGCATCTCGCTGCCTGCGACGGATTGATCCGTTTCCGTCACCGTATCCAAACTGTCCACCCTGGTACCGGAGAGAGCTTCCTTGACTCGCCTGTAAATCCTGCTCGGACCAGGTGTAAGCACGAGCTGGTGCACGCTGCTGAATGTATGGCTTCTTCGATGTGCTCTCAACATTGATTGCTCTTGGTGCCTGGCCTTGCAACGGAATCTGTTTGCCACTATCTGTTTTGACTTGGGGGTCAAAGGAGATGGACGACTTTCTCTGGCGATTCGCGTGCTCCATAAATCCACCAGTAGGCCCAGGGCTTTTATTCATGCTCTGACGGTTCGCCTGCTCCATGAATCCACCAGAGGGCTTGTAGCTACCGGAAAGGTTACTCTGACGGTTCGCTTGCTCCATAAATCCAGCAGTAGAGGGTTTATAACTGCCCGAGGGACTATTATTCATACTTTGACGGTTTGCCTGCTCCATAAATCCACCAGAACGCTTGTAGCTGCTGCTGCCATTCATGTCCATGTCAAGTGAATCATGGTGGGTATCAATCTCTAGCCTAGGAATGGGAATAGCGTGTGGTTGCATCGGGATGGGAGCACTATGGCCGTGACTGTGACTGCTTGAAGAAGAACCATTGCGTGAGGAGAAAGCCGAATCGTTGAGGTGGCCGGTTCGGGGAACAGAATCAATCTTCAACCTAGCAAACTTTGTGTGAACATTCAACCCACGGTCCATCGCATGTGCAGAAGGACTCTGCACTGGTACCTGTCGAAGTGCGTTGCTTGTGTAAGTGGAAAGGTTGTTGGTGTTAATGGGAAGAAAGAGAGTTTGGATTTTTATTTTCTCGGTAATTTTTGGTGTGTGTCGAGGAGAGAGAAGTTTTTTGCGGAGAACTTGGGCGGAGTATAAATAATAGGGAAGGTGAGTGGGATACTATGGCTTGCTGCTTGTTGCTTGGTGCGGTTTGACGTGCAGGTAGGGCAGCAGGGATTTAACCGCAGGCAGCACGATGATGGTATGGATGCGTGAGGAGGCTAGGTGGTTGTGAGAATGTGGGCTGTGGGCTCTGATTGCGTCCTAGCTAGTGAAACTGGAAGTGACGATGATTGATAGATCGACAATGGCTGATGATAATGGGCTCGGGGAAGGCTAAATTCTACGATAATATGGGGTCGCTAAAAGATCACGGACTCGAGGGAAGGGGGGCGAGCGGCCGTTATATGTATCGTGAACGACACAGAGCAGAGTTCTTATGTAGAATTATGTAGAACTGACACCGACTGAGGCAAACTAGAACTAGATAACGGTCTTGGGGGGTGGGGATGGGAAAAATCGGAGAGGGTACGATAAGTGTGGGAAAGACAGAAGTTATGTAGTGAATCTTTTATGTAACGGTAGCGTTGAAAAGATGGCCCACTGTGAATTATGAGTGGTAGTGTGGTGCTGCTGCTTAGCTACTGCTGCGGTGGGCAGAAATGATGGTGGTATGAATTGGAGTGGTGGCCTCAGACAGACAGTCAACTAGGAAGGGAATGGTAAATCGGAACAAGATGATGGACGCGCACACACGAAGAAGGAGAGATACTTGGCGGGCCGCAGACAATCAATCAGAAAAGAATAAATCGAAACAGATGATCCGATGGAGAAACTGCAGTTACAAGATGAAGTGACAGAACAAGAAAAGAAAATCCACACTATTGTAACAGATGAGCTGAGCAGAGACAGAGATTCGAACCCTTCTCCTCCGGCTCCCCCTACATCTGGCTCTAATGAAATGTCAAGGCCCCCGCCGGATGTAGGATGGAATGAGTTAAAGAGAAAATAAAATAATAATTTTCCAAGATCCCGCCTTAATTCAGTCCGGGAGATCGAAGGAGGTACATACAGGCTTGGCTTACGGTGCGTGTCTCTCACCTGAAGTGAGAACTTTAGGTGCTCTACATACCCCTACTAACGCGGTTTCTGAAGTTACAGTACCGGTACTCACTCAATACCAAGCCCCACACCCAGGTCAACCCCACGATTGATGAAAAATTTAAAGCTGCACGTGCGTCACGGAAAACGAAATAATGGCGGTACGGTGGGACGACGCCAATCCTGGTTGGCTGGCCGTTCGCGGGGCAGAGCGTCTGTGTGCATATGGTGGTGTGCGAATTCGGAAACCTACTGCGGAATCTGTAAAGAGTAAATAATTAAAGAGGTGTGGTTCCAGGGAGAGAAACCTGGAAGAATCACATCCAGAAATGTAAAAAGTTTAATAAAAAGCAAAAAAAAAGTTTGGGGAAGGGGGGAAACACCAAAACAAAAAACAAAAAGGGAAATCACTGCACCGGCGAAACAGAACGCCATCCCCGGGGCGAAAGTGTGGGGGTCCATGGAGACCCAACGAGGATGGAGAGGATGTGCGGCGAAGGTGAGGATAGCTCGCGTAGAGCCTAGATCGACTGATTCGTTTCCGTTTCAACCTGAAAGGTCCAGGGACCCGTATAAACTTGAAGTGGAAACGATTGGCAAGGGTCTAAGGCCGTTTCCCTTTATGTGATGCGCTCGTTCTATTTTCGCGGAGTCGCGGGTGATCTGATAACTAACCATCGTGATACACCACCATCATGCAGTTAGTTCGGTAATTGAGCTGAGACTAAGATATAAAATTGTTAGGAACGGAGACGTCATCTTCAAAAGGGCGATAGTCCGACAAACGATTTGGCTGAGTTTATCTCGAAAGCTCACCACTCCTTAACCACGAAGCGGCCCGCCCGGTACTCGGAATGCTAACCGTTGGTCTTGACTCTAGATCTGGCGGGGTGGCTTGACGGGGTGAAGGGGGGGACCGGGCTCCCTTTATTTTTTGTTTTATGTATGTCTTTTGATCTGGATACGAGTACTTACCAGGTGGTGTCTCCTCTGTCCCAGATACATGTACCTACATGTACCTACATGTACTCTATTTACCGATATTTCTATCTGGGTGTGTATCTACTTTACTTTTTTATGTATGTACTCCACTTTACGCTTCTCTGTCGTGCAGAGATACCTTTCGTGCAGTTTTAAAGTCGACGATCTTCAAAGACCTTAGACTGACTGTACGTAAAGCACTCAACGAATGTCAACTTCTTCTTTTTCTCCTCCCCGCAGGAATGACGAACAAAGATTGGCAAGGCGAGCAAGTATGTCGAGAGGATGGCGGAATCATGTCCTACATAATGGATCATGCTAAGCCGCCGCCGCCGTCGCCGGGAGAGACAATTGCAAGAAGGAATCTGCTGTAGGTTTCCCACATAAGCGACACAACAGTGACCACGTTAACGCTCTATGGCGAATTCTCCTCCTAACCATCTTCAATTCTGCAAGTCTTGTGCCCTGCCTCTCCTTGTTTCTTTTTGCAATGGACTTCGCCTTTCCCCTCACTTTAGGACTCGCTTCGTCCCTGCATTCCTGCTATCGGGTGGCGAATAGATAACCAGAAATACCGACATTCCTAATCCAAGTGGGCCATTAGATGACGATAGAGTGCAGACATAGAAAAGGAACTAAGAGCCAGCGATGATATGTCCGCGGGTGTCTCTAAAAATACGGGTAACGGTTCGACTCTGGCGGGAGCGTTCTGTCTGTTTTTACTGGCAGACGATTATCTGGTGTTGTCCATGGACCGAATTCAAACTTTTGAGGGAGCTCTGGAGATTATTTCGTTCGTTCGGTTGTTTACCAGTGAGGTCCGGGGTAAGGTAAAGGTTGTAAAGATGTCTTGCAACTCCCACACCCTTTTTTGCCGAGTAAATTCTTTCTTTGGGTTGGTTGTTGATTGCTGATTCTCACCTGGTTGGGATTTTGGCTGTACATATCTCGTTTTAACTACACTCTATGATCTAACTAGAGTAACAATTGCTCAAAGTATCTACCGCTCTACTCTACACGATGCGTGGTGTTCCTGGGTTAGTTGCTATGCGCTGCATTGACATGGGCTCCTGCTGCATCTCTCAGCTCTCACTCACCATACAACTGCTTGCTCGCCCTGACCACCCCTAAATAAGGGGATCTATTTGGGTAAGGGGTGGCTTTTTCTTTTCTTAGCTCTCACTCAATTCGGGGGTTTTTGCTTTGGTTGCTTTCTTGGTACTCTGCTACTTTGCTTTACCCGCCTTACTTTCACCTCACCTCTGTTTCGTCTACTCTCTCTGTCTGTCCCAGTCCATCGACTCCTGCTTCAGTGAACGGTGAGGTCTGTATCCCCACTGGACCGATTATCATACCCTCGTTCGTCCACATATACGCGCACCCCCCTCCAACCCTCTTTACACCCCCCCTCCACGGCCATTCAACCCTGCCTGGACATCATCGAGGAGCGAGAAATACACAACCTTACCTTACCCTACCACTACCACGCCCCCCTTCACGCCTCACACGCAACCACTCGCATCTATCCATCCAGCCAGCCAGCTAGGCCAGGCAGGCAGGATACACGCATTCGTTTCTTGACTCGGCTTCTTACCCTGGCTCTTATTCACCCCCCATAAAAAACAAAAAAAAACAAAAAAAACACTATTACCCCCCTTCCCCTAGATCTCTTCCAAATAATTCAAGTAGTAGCCAACTAGCCAGCCAGATAGACAGCCTCGTCACGCGTGCACCACGAACGTTGTCCTTTCTCTTGCTGCCTGCCGAACAGCACATGAGATTCTTCCGATCTTTTCAAGTTCCCATTCGCACTGTGTTCTGGTACCTGTAGCTATTGGGCCCGTTTTTTATTCTATATTCAACATTCTATTCTTATTATTTACTCTTCTTTTTTATTCGAGGGTCGTGCATAAAGTGCTTTACATACATTACATACATTCGAACTTTACTTCTTTCTTGCACTCGGTCATATCTATATTATATTCACCGCCTTTCCCACACCTTCTGTGAGCCATGACCCGACCTCAGATTGTACGAGCTGGTAAGTCCGTCGTCTCTCAATTTGACTCTTCCCTTCTCCATTCCCTTCTCCATTCTTTATCTTTACCATGAGCATTCGAAGAGCGAGCAGAGCTCCTCCTTCCTCTACTATGACCGCATGTCGGCAGCCCCATCCTACCCATCTCACTTCGTCTTCGCCCTACGGGCGATCTCGGCAGCGTTCACCGCCTGCAGTTTCCCGAGGAAGAGCAATGGTTTCCTTTGTAAACGCCGCTAAACGATTCTTATCGCCCACAGACACGCTTGATCTACAACCTCGTGAAAAGGCCTCAGCCGCGGATCACACCAATGCCCCGGACGAACAAAGGGATGCACAGGGATTCGCACCACACCAGAGCAATACATTGAGAAGCGCGGAGGAGGAGGAAAAAGCTGGTACTTTACACGAGGAGGATGAGGTGGACAGGGACCTTGCTGGATCAGAGAGCCTCACAGGGGATGAGGGCGGGTACGATGACGACGATGATATGGGGGATCGAATGAGCAGCAGTCCCAGTATCGCCGATGGTGTGTATTTTCTGCGCAAGGCTGTGGTGGTGTCCTGGATTTTGGGTGGGGTGGTCGGCTAATGGATTGGGTTGGTTGGAATAGACGATATCGACCTTGATATGGTATATGCTTTGCATACATTCCAAGCGAGTGTGGAGGGGCAAGCGAATGCTACCAAGGGAGAACATATGCAGCTTCTCGATGACAGCAATTCATATTGGTGGTTAGTCAAGATTCTTCGGGATGGTTCAATAGGTACGTTTCAATTGCTACCGCTGCTCTATGCGCAACCATTCGCGCGATAGAGTTGTTCAGCTGATGTCGGGTTCTTTCTAGGGTACCTACCAGCGGAACATATTGAGACACCTACGGAGCGATTAGCAAGGCTGAACAAGCATCGCAATATCGACCTGGCCTCCAACATGCTCAGCGACAACACGAGTGAGAAATCGAAAAATCCGCTCAAGAAAGCTATGCGCCGACGCAATGCGAAAGCAGTAGCCTTTGCGCCCCCAACGTACGTCGAAGCCTCGGAGTATGAGTATACCACCGACGAAGAGGAGGGAGAGGGTTACGATTCAAATGAGGAGGAGGTAGCAGCTCAGGAGAATGAGGTAGAGGCCACTGAAGCTGGTGCGCGCACTGTGAAACCTACTGCTTCGCTGGACGAAAAAGCAAAGGATTCAAAGAGCACCATTGAAGAGAGTAAACTGCGGGTCAACCAAGCAGCATCATCACTAAGACATCCCGATTCGGCTGTTTTCAGTGATGATAAGGTGGAGACAAAGAAGATTACTCTCACGCCAAACTTGCTGAGGGATGATGGAGATGCGACCACAACGTCAATCAAGGGACGAGGTTCTCTGGATAAGGACAAACCAAGGGGCGATGGGATTCTGTCACCAGAGCCAAGGGGCAAGGATGGTAAAAAAGGAAAGAAGGGGGTCCTTGGTGGTTTATTCAAGAGACGTCATAGAAAAGGGAAGAATGATCAGGACGATTTGGAAGATTGGCTTCAGACCGGGAACGACAAACAATCTAGTATCAGCTCTAGAGAATCGGAAGATAGCCAGATTGATGTACGGAAGGGGAAGCAATCAGAACAACAGGCTCAAACACAGGCACAGGCTCAAACACAAGCTCAGCAGCAGCAGCAACAGCAACAGCAGCAGCAGCAGCAGCAACAACAACAACAAAGGGAACGAGAGCGGGAGATCCGGGAACAACGAGAACAGCAACAGCAACACCGGGAAACACAACAAAAGCCTACTGTTTCCGGTCCCACTTCAACTATCCGCAAGGTGGAATCAGATACCGAAGCCAAGGAGGAAGTTGCAGTTCATGGACCAACCGCGCAGCAGAAACAATCGCTTGAAATGCAACGTTCGGGTTCCGGTTCGAAACCTACAGCTGTGTACTCACCGGACAAGCGGTCACTGTCACAATCGTCACACAGCAGCGAGACGGAAAGAGGTCCCCCACAACAGAAGATCACAACCGCCCCGATACAGACACAAAACCTAGAACCCCTGCTTCAATCGCCCCAGACTCGCAGCCCTCAAGCCGAAAGTGCCACAAAACCGGCCTACCAGAGAAGCGCTTACAAACCTTTCCGCGCCGATGGAAACCAATCACCCGAACAATCGTCCTCGCCTGTTGAGCGTCTTTCAGATTCACCGGAACACATTTCTTACCATGACGCTTCTGACCGCCATGATCTCACTGATGCCTCAAGCGGCGACGACACATCCTCGTCACCTATCGAATCGCCACCAGAGATTATCGAGAGACTCAGCGAGGCTGACTCCCCTTCACCAGTCATTGCACACGAAGACGGCGCGATCACGCGGACGTGGAGCGATTGGTCACTGCGCACATATTTTGAGGATGACAATGATGTCCGAGACATGTTGATTGTTGTTCAACAAGACAAGAGCGGTGCCGGCGTAGTAAGGAAAGACCATCCTGACATTGGTCCCATCTTTCAGGAGTCCAGTACCAAACTGGCCGATATCACCAAGGTATGTTTATATTTCTTCTACTTTCTTTTACCACCTCAGATCTTCCCCTAAAACACCTTAAGGTTCGCTGTTGGTAATTGGATGCTGATTTCTTGATTTTTCTCTAGCGGTTGGATGGTATGCTAGGTGATTGGCTGCAGAGGAAAGGCCGCACACGATAGGCGTGTTTATGAATTCCGTTGGAGCTGGGGAGGGGTGTTTTTCAACAATTATTTTTTGGCCTTTGTGAGCATTTTTAACGACTTTTTTTTTCGTTTTCTTTTTTTTACTTTTCTTCAATTTCCTCTGATTACCGGTTGTAATTGAGCTGGGTTTTTTCTTTCATTTGTAGGAGCAATCTATCAGGAGACGAGGGAAGGGACTTCCAATAGTCAGATACCAATCGAGGGTATCTAGAAATATATCTAGAGATCCAGATCGAGAACAGTGTGGACTAATACCGCCAAAACCATTTTCTATGTCTATCTTTCTGTATTTTTCTTTTTATCTTTCCCATTTTGGTTTTCCCTGGAGGGACCGCGTACCGCTCTTGAGGAGGGTGAAAAGTCTACTTGAGAGCAGGACCTCCAGTTTTCTGTTATATATATTTCACATCGTTTTTTTTCCTAGGGAAATTGAGGACGGTTTCCTTTGTAAGGATATTTTTTTTATATTTTTTCTGCCGTCAGGCACAGATACCTATGTCTTTTTAGTTTATTCTCGCTTTCTCTGGGGGGTGCTCTCTAAGTTTCTTGTTTTTCTTTTCCTTGGTAGAGAGGGGTCCTTTAACACTTCTTTGATTTTAACAAGGATATATACCAGTTCTTGCCAGGCTTATTTTGTAGTAAGTGAAGATTGTGAGGTTCTGACATGTGTTGTTTTTCTCAGGCTCGGGGGTGGCTGGATTTCCGAACAAATGTCTCATTTTAGTGGAAGACATGGGACATGGGGGTATTGCTAATGATAGGTAGGGGGTGGGACATCTGGGGGCTTACTTTTTTGCTATTCACAGCAAAGCATAGCAAAGAAAGGCTCAGAGAGATAGGAGGAACAGTGCTTTATTAATGACGTGTAGTCTCAGTGTTGTCTCTCATTGTCTGGCTAGTCACATGTATGCATGTTGCCCTGCGGGTGATGGAGACGTTAGATCGTACATTGTAGACTCATTAGATTCCGGGAATGGCCGGGATGCAGGGACCCTTATGATCGCCGGTTTATTCCCCGGATTCGAACCCTCTGCTGGGTTGGGAAGCCTTCAGTCAACACGTTATGACTCCCAACTGATTATCAAGCGTTGACTACATACATGTTCTACGTACAGGGTCTTACCTTTAAGGCCTGCCAGCAGATACTCCACGTCAGGGTTCTTCGGAAAGTTCCCGAGCTGGGGACGATGTTTGGGTTTCAATTCGGTTAAATATCCTAAGTAGAATTTTGGAGTCCCAGCTGAGGATTATTCCGCTGTCGTTCCAGGTAAACTGCATCAAGGGTGTGTTCATGGATGAACCTATCCGTGAGTTAGCATTTGCTATTCGAAATGTTCTGTTTGTGTGTTTGAGACTCGAGTGTTTGAAATCGATAGGAAACACCTATTTGATCAATTTCCTGTGGCACTTGTTTCACAGTATTTCCATGAGGTCACCCTAGGATAAACAACACATGATTCGATCCTCCACCATTCTTGTTTGGGTGGAAGGGGAGCACTGATGTTGCTTGTAATGCTCGATCGGATTGTGTATGGCGCCGCCTCCCTTTCTTCCATTTTTACGAAATAGGCTGTTTGACATCACGCTCTTAGCAGCGTGTTCATAGATCTGTCGATTGATTCTTGAGAAGCGATGCTAGGCATCGATCAAAAGAGGTGTTAGGTAATTTGATGTGTGCCAAGACTCCGAACCCGGGAATTTAATCAGTGGTTTTGCCGTTTAGTGTAGAAATTGGAAGTTTGGAGGACCCGTGGCCTGTTTGCTATTTAGGCAATATCCTCAAGATCGAGAAGCTAAAATGTACTCTAATTGGGCAATATATTGTAGAGGGCTTTTGTGGACTCCAAACAAACGTTAATGCCTGATCGACATTCTCCCATAAGTCAAGCTACACGCAGTACTTACATGTACAGCGACAGGTAATAAGTGATGGAACGCCCTGAGAGTACAAACACCAAATGTTGGTGGCGTTTTACCAAAACAGGTATTGCTCTGTTCCATCACTTATTACCCCGTACATGTAGTTGTGGAATTGTTTGCAATGGCAAAGCGCACTACATGTACCAAACATTAATCCCAAGAGCCTTGCAAGGGCAATGAACTTATATGTAATTGAACCCACTCGAGTTTTAATTACACATAATGACAATCCAATCGTGATAATACGATTTTCAGACGTATACATGTACTAGTGATTATACCACAGTAATTCGTCTCAACGGGCTGTCACAATTCAGCAACCCCAAAAGATAAGTTTGCGTACTTGGTACATGTAATTCGTGGCAAAATTCTACTGCTTGTTACTACGACGGGTATCCTGTGTAAATCATGTTTGGGGATTCAATGCTCTTCCGGTGGACGTGCAACTAATAGCGTCATGGAATATCACCCGCTACCAATTGAATCACATGATTAGGCCGCCAATACGCTAGTAATGAAACAATAACCTTATCCTAAGAACCCTAAACCTAGGCGAGCGAGGCTCTGAAGCCACATAACCCCTCCATTGAGCTGCCCCACACCTAAATCAAGGGCCCATCACCACAACGCGACCATAACGATGTCCGAAGAATCCAAGATAACCGAGCCTATAACGGAAGACATTCACATCGACACTGAAGAAGTTGTCGAAGAAGTCAACGCCGATACTACACAAACCGGCGCTAGCAAGAAAAAGAAGAAGAAAGGGGGGAAGAAGGTCAAAAAGGCAGCAGCTAGTAACGATGTCGAGTCTGAAGCTTTGGAAACAGCAGAAACGGGAGAAAGTAGCGATATGGGCTCTGGAATGGTTAAAAAAATTCTGAAGAACAACCCCAGCTTAGCTGCAGAAACTCAAGGGATGGATCCGAAGAAGATACAGGAGATGTTGAGCAGGCTGAAACTGGAGGAATTAATGACAGGAATGGTTAGCTTCACTGTTGCTGTTAATGATTACGGTTATAAAGGACTGAAGGGCTGATAGAGATAAAACATAGGCACCGGGGAAAAACCAGAAAGATATGGCGTCGTACAAGTTCTGGGCTACGCAACCAGTTTCGAGATTTGGTATGTACCTGGAGTTATGTACCATGGGTTGAATCAAGAACTAATCTCTCTACGAATGGAAGACGAACCTGAGTCTCAGAAGCCAGATGGACCAGTGCGAGTGCTGAAGATTGAGGACGTACCAACAACAGGAGCTGAGCTTGTTGATGGATTCGAATGGGATACCATGGATCTGAACGATGAGAAACAGGTGAATTACTTTGACCATCTCATTTCGTACTTTTATTAACCCTACAACAATCAGATCAATGAAGTTTACGAACTACTTACCAATCACTATGTCGAAGACAATGATGCCATGTTCCGCTTCAACTACTCTGCGTCTTTCATTAACTGGGCCCTTAAATCACCTGGTTGGGTCCAGTCTTGGCATGTCGGTGTCCGTGTTGCTGCGACAAAGAAGCTCGTCGCCTTTATTTCAGGTATACCGGTCACTTTGAAGGTTCGCGACAACGACCTAAAATGCTCTGAGATCAACTTCCTCTGTATTCACAAAAAACTACGCGCCAAACGTCTCGCACCCGTACTTATTAAAGAAATCACCCGGAGATGTAATCTGCTGGAGATCTGGAACGCCATTTACACCGCTGGAGTCGTGCTACCAAAGCCTATTTCCACGTGTAGATATTATCACCGCAGTTTGGATTGGCTCAAGCTCTATGATGTTGGCTTCTCACCGCTACCGACAAAGAGCACAAAAGCGAGGCAGGTTTCTAAATATTCGCTGCCAACAAACACAGCAACGCCTGGATTAAGAGAAATGGAGCTAAAAGACTTGGATGCAGTCCATGGATTACTTGAGAGATACTTGGCGAGATTTGATTTGGCGCCAAAATTCGACAAAGTAGAAATTAAACATTGGTTATTCAACGAGGAAAGCAAGCCTGAGGATAGGGTTGTTTGGTGTTACGTTGTGGAGGTGCGTTTCCCCTAGGTACTAAAATTTATGCAAATAACTACTAATTCCCAATAGACGGATGGAAAAATAACCGACTTCTTTTCATTTTACTCCCTCGAATCCACAGCCTTGAAAAAAAATACCACTATCCGTGCTGCCTATCTTTTCTATTACGCCTCTGAGGCTGCCTTCAGCGGTTCTCCAGATGTGAAGAAGGAGCTCAAGGTCCGACTCAATGCGTTGGTAAATGACGCTCTTATCCTCGCAAAGAGGCTCAATTTCCACGTATTCAACGCGTTGTCACTCCTTGATAACTCGCTTTTCCTCACGGAGCAGAAGTTTGGCCCTGGTGATGGATCCTTACATTATTACCTTTTCAACTGGAGGACACCATTCATTAAGGGTGGAATTGATGAAAAGAATAACATCGACGAAGAGAACGGCAGTGGGATTGGTATGGTCATGCTTTGATTCTGGACATCCTTTTGCATTGAAGGTGTGAACATTATGTTTTTTCTGGATCGTTCGAACGGAATCGAGCACGTCATGGGTTGTAGTTCATGATACCGTAAAGTAGCGTGTAAAAAAAAAAACAGAAAACAAGATGTTTGAACCTCAAACCACTAGGTCATATTCATGCGGGTTATTTCATCATGAAACACCACTTGCTGATCTATATCCTGCTGATGACAAAATCATGTCCACTGGATAAGTTGAATGGTCCTAGAGTTTTTTGTTTATTGAAAGGAAGTATAGAGTTGGTGTAAGATCGAAGATTTACGAGCGGAATAACCATGGTTTGAGAACTCTTGAACCTACTCTTACGACAAATATTGTTATTGCGTTCACCTAGAGGGAAAGCATGCTTTTAGTTCGTCCAGGGCAAACCATCTCCTCCAGAGAGTCCGACTCTGTTAGGACTAACATATAGACTTTAGGTGGGATATATGGTTTGTGACGATTTGGGGGGTCTTTGCTATTAGAAGCCACCCCTCCGTTAAAACACTAATCTGACTGTTTTCATCGATGAGATACATAAGCTATTACGTATCTGCATGTGCCAGTACGTCCCTATAAACTCCATATATGCCTAGTAGCATAAAATTTAGTTCCATAGATCATTTAGTAGAGGCCCGAGCTTCCTCAAGTAGCCGGCCTCGTGGTCTACTAGTGACAATATAGTAATATTAGTGCTTGCAGTTAATTAAGAACAAATTGTCTCGACACGATACCTGTGTTTAAACTCGTATTTTGATTAATTGAAATTATGAGAAGTGACAAGTCTACATGAAAACTCGCTGGAAATGTTCTTAATTCTATAGCTACATCAACTAAGCATGCTGGAAAGTAGAAAGTAACCAATCGTTGAACACATACTCAGTAGTCCTTGATAGTGTGAAAATAGATACAAGTTGAATCTAGTGGACTCTGTTTGTATGTACTATCTATTCATATTCTACTCTGTCTTGTACTCGCTTATTAAGTCCTCGTTGTTTTTAAGTTGTGTAGGAATTCGGTTGCAACAACATCGATGACTCAGAGTAATGATCATCTAGACAACAATCTTAAAATATGGTATAATGATCATTGATGTCGCGTTTATTGTTGTTAGCTGATTATTTATTGCTACTAATATTAACTGATTACGTGCAATTATTGCTACTGCTGTTAACGAGTATTTTACCACCGTCTACGTTGTTCTGTGACTAGATAGTCAAACCGAGTGATCTTATGTGATGCAACCACTCGTTCTATTGGAGCCCCCCCAAAACCGGTTTTTTCTTCCTTTTCTTCCAGGTCCCACCATCATTGATACTTCACAGTATTTCCACTAGCACAACACCCCCCGAAACCATTCCTTCACATCATCCATTCCAATATCTGGTTCCCCTTCTCCTTGACGTCTTTCTACAAGAATATCACCCTCTCCCCCTTTCATCACACTTTACTTTTTGGCACTATCCCTCAAATACCATCAAGATGGCCTCCACGACCAGAGGGAAATATAACCTGCGTGAAAGGAAACCAAATGCAACACCTACTTCAGCCAAGATCTCTTCCCCTAAAGATACCGTTCCTAAAAGAATTGCCTCGGAGAGGATTGCCTCTAAGAAGGCCGCAAAAATGGTCGTTTCACCAAGCTCAACAGAGAAGGGAGAGTACGAAGAGGAAGAGGGAGAGGAAGAGGAAGAGGAGATTGCTCCCAAGAGGAAGTGGACCAGGAGGAAGAAGAACCCACCACCCCTCGCCCGTGTTCAATCCTGCAATTAACGAACCAAGGCTACCTGAGAGTGACTTTGAGGATGATGGCAAAGATGATGGTGGTGGTGATGATGGCAGTGGCCTTGTCAGGACCAAAAAACGTAAAGTTACTGCAGCACAAAGTGTTACTGTAGCCAAAAGGGTTACTGCAGATCGAAGTAAGTGGATTTTCTCATACCAGCATGTTTTCTTTGTGATTAATGGTGTTTTAGAAATCCCAAAAGGTCAAGGCGTAGACTTTGATATTACCATCGGCCGCAAGTACCAAGGTAAATATTACTGCCATCCTACTCCTCCTTTCCCTCCTAAATTTCTCTCCTTTCTCCTCCATCTATTATGTATAGAACATAACTAACAAGAGCACCAGCTGAGCCATGCGTACATACTCCACATATCTCCGAAGAGCGTCTTCAAGAAATATTCGCAAAAATCAGAAATAGTATCAGAGAGGGCGTCGCTGAGCAAACTATAACCGTCAGACCCTGGAATTATATACTTCCCACCAAGGCACAAATTTCTCGCCGTAAACAACAAGGTCTCCTGTTGTACACCGATATTGGCTGTACCAAGATTGCGGCTACCAAAACAAAGACCACTCCTATACTTCGAGCCCCCGCTCTCATAGCATTAGAGAGAGAGAGACAAGTTGCTAAATTAAGGAGCACCCGCGTATCGGTAGCCTCAAAGGCCTCCAAAATCACAGAAACTAGAGGCGGATTCACCCCATCCACCCCTAAGAACAAAGGGGGAGAGCAAGCGGAAGATGAAGAAGAGGATGAAGAAGGTCAAGGGGGTGAAGACGAGGAAGAAGATGAGGAAGAGGGCGGAAGCGATGACGACGAGGAGGAGGACGACAAAGATGACGAGAACGAGGCAGAGGCGTGTTCTCTCTCAGTCTATTCTCCATACTGGAGCACTCATAAGAAGCGAACGGAAGAAGAAGATGATGATTACGTCCCGTCATCCCGCTCAAACCGTATCTCGTTCAATACACGACAGAAAATTAAAGGGGATAAAACCAATTCCTCTCCTTCGCCTCATATTAGCCTCTTCAAACCTCAGCCCAAAAAACCAGGTAGCCGGTCAGCTGGGGCCCAAGCCAAATCTTCTGAAGACCACCCATCTGCTCTAGGCGAGTCTTCGCCAAAGGCCCAGGATACCTCTATGAACGCAGAGTCCAGAGAAGAAAGACCTGTTATCGATTACTCACACACCACCACGATCAGTGGGACTTCTTCGTCTGCCAATACTGAACTGTATGGAATTAAAAATTCCAAAAAGATTCTTTCTCCAGTTAAGGCAATCGGCTCTCACTCGCGTACACCCATGAGGGATACCCCCCCGCCACCCTCAGTTGCATCTTCCTCGATGGAAATTATGGGCCCTCCTCAACGCCCGCTCACGCCCAGACCTTCTTCGTCTGTCAAAACAGTTCCTACCTCAGTTAGGCCCGTGAATTCTTCTGAACATCAATCCACACCCAGGTCTCCGTTACCTGTCCGATCATCCAGCAAGTTTTCAAACGGCCAAAACAATTCACACCATGGGGGAGCTCAGACTACTCCCCCACGTGAGTTTCTGGATAGTTCACCCGCCATATCTCCCTCGTCCACCGGACGCTTTTTGCACTAGATTGCACTTGGTTAGAAAAGTACATAAATACTTCAACTTCTCAACTTATATATTGCAATGGGGTTGTCACATTTCTTTGTAACAGTCTTCAATCTCTTCCCGATGGCACATATACTCCTGGTATTTCTCTTCTGTATTGTCTACTATTTACATCTTTACACCGTAAGATAATCTACATGATTACTTGAAATCGGTTTCCTTTTCTCTTGTATTTATGGGAAAGAGCATACATACCGAATACATGTACACTTAACTTTTAATCGCATTCGCTAAAACCGGCGAAACATTTGAGTTCCATAGAACCAGTGTCTTGGTATAACTTTGTTGTCAACGAGATCATGTCCGCTATCAATTGAGAGCAAGTGGAAATAATGTGATATGGAAGTTATTTTATTAACCTAGATCGACATAAATATGATAATCGGCCTAGTAACCCTAATCGAGATCTATTCCTCATACCTCATCCCGACTCGTGCATATCCAAACCAGCCTTCCACATGTCTAAACGAGTATGATCGCATCAATCGATCATTCAAAATTAATATACGCCCACAAATCAATTGGTTCATCACTTTCATCCTCGCTTACCCTCGACTGATCTTCCAGTCCCAAACTCCCAAAACCCACTTCATGCATATTCGCATCTCCCTTCATTACAAGCATATCCACCAACGCCTTACTCACCTTCCAATCCTTCGTTAATGCATACTGCAGCGGCAATTGTCCATAGAAATCCATAATGTGGACATTCACTCCCTCCTGCTCCAGTAGCAGCTCCACAATCGCAATATCGCCATAGATAACTGCCATATGTAGTGCTGTATGCCCCTCTGTTGTCTGTGCATTGACATCAATCCCCTTGTCGGTATCGAGTAAAAGTAGGGTGAGGGGATGGAAGCGATGCATGACGGACCAGAGGAGGGGCGAGATGTTGTTGTTAGAGAGGAAGTCAGTATACAGCAGGATCTGGGACAGGAGCGCGGAGGCCCCGTGATTCTTCAAAAGAAGAATATTAGTGAGGGGGCTGTCGGTACTAGCCTCCGAGGCGATCTTGAGGAGCATAGAGGGGGTGAAATCTTCAAGAGACATTTTTGCGGGATGATTTGAAGTATTTCAGGGTGCTTTATTGAGTATGATTTGGTTGGTGATTAGAAGTTTTCTAGAGGGGCTTTTGGGGGTGATTTATAGCAGGTGGTCGAATAATCGCATTCAAGATATCTTCCGTCATGCTTGGTTACAAGATGCTGTTTGGATCATATCGTTTAAAATAATCAAGTGTACAGCTATCCAAGCACCTCTTCTATCATCTTGAAACGCTCCCCAGGGTCAATGATCGCAGATGCGGCGAGTGATGTATCATGATTGGTGTAGTACAAGAGAGTGAAGATCTCGAGGACGCCGAAGGGGTAGAACCCGGGAAGTTGAATCATCAACCAGCACTCGACCAAATGTTGAATCAACCCTGTCATAGTAACACCAGCGAAGTTAGCAACACTACTACAGCTGCCAGTCGATTTGTCCAGTGAAAAGCACAATCCAGACCGGAAGGTGGTACAAAGGCGTTTTTAATATCTTCGGATCTTAATCTGAGGCTCGGCACGCCAAAAATCAGGCGACGTTGGTGATATGATGTGCGAGGCCTTTAACGGGGCCCCCGGTCGGGTGCTGCGGGCTGAACCTTATTAATGTCAGTATCCTTTCCCATGCAAGGCAGATGCCGTCATATGGCGAGCCTAAATGATTGCTCATATTCGAAATTAGCCTGCACTTGGGAAAGGCGTAATTTAATAATTTGGTAGGAGCGGGAGATCAGAGTTAATACACAGCAGGATGGATGTGGTGTATGATACGTAACTCGTAAATACTCCCTCTAGGAGTACATGTAAGTACGTGCACTTTGAAACGTTCATTGAGATACATGTATCGTAACTCAAGTGGTTTGTGCAGCCTTCCGTCAAGCCACTATGGTGCCATTAGATGGATTCATCCCAAACCCTACATGAACGTAAGGTGCCCACAGTTCTCGATCTCACAACCAGGTTCCGGGACTATAATCACTAGCCGAGTATGTGCTCTCTTATTACAGCATCAACCATCCTATCTGCTAAACTTGGTGAATGTAGTTAACAGCTTGACATGAAGAAGCTGGAAACAACTTCCGCTGGCCTTTGATTAACATCGCATCAACATGCAGCCTCAATTTGCCACGTCCACTCCAAAATATTTTCTAAACCGGCCAAAACTCCCTTGTCTTTACTGCTGCAAGGTTGAGCCGTATGGATCATGATAATTCTTTCATTGGATGTTTTCGATGGTCTTCAGCACATTCTTGGAGGCATAGTTCCCATCCTGGTGATTGACGAGCGTTCTGTGATGATCTAGACGTTGTAGGAAATATCCCGGAATTGACCCAGCGTGCTAACGTCGATGCCTTCTAGATACTATCCTGGGTTTTCAGTACCACTCAAGAGGCATATCCCCCCCCCCCCCCTTCTTTTTCCCCGGGCTCTCGAGGTATCTACCTCTGTGATACTACACGGACAGAAATATGCATTACATGTGGACACAGCCTCAGTAAACCTCCAGTCGCCCGCCAAGCCCTGTCTCTCCACACATAGCTCATGGTATACCCGTCGCCTTTAAGGTTTCAAGGTAATGCTCAGTAGTATTCTAAAAATAGTGCATACCTGCTTCGAGCACCTCCAAATGATTAAGGCATTCCCCTCTCTAACAAAATAGGCTAAGACGTAACCCTACAAGGTAGATAGACCTCGAATTATCTTTAATGGCCCACCACGGCCCACATTAATCTGAAGGTAGTGGGACTTTACATAAACTTGCATAAACTCGGCGGGATTTTAATCTGTGCCGTCTCACCACCTTTATTTTTCCCTTTTCTGATTATGAGTAATTTTGAAATCGATATTTTGACCATACTCCCTTACTCGAAGAGAGAGACAACATCTTATCACTTATGGACTATTGCAGCATAAACTCAGAATAAATATTGGGCACAACTGCATGCCGTTTTTAAGGGAGCCATAAGGTAGTAAAAGCCCAAACCCACATTTTCATCTGATATCAGCTACTGTAACTCAATTTATATGCACCGATAGCTGACCGACCATTAACAATCACATGAAGATTCCTCATGCAGCAGCTGAGCGCCACCGTTGTGATCATGACACATAGATTGCAGTCTCAATAAGAACAGAGCATCTCCTTCTCTTTTTTTGGTGGGGATATTGAGGCGCTATCTATCTATCCGAGAAACGGCTTTAATCTCGGATAGACGACCAATTCCCATAGGTGGTGGCGGGTGTGAGGTACATATGTGCGTATTTACCTATATCGTTCCCTGTAGAACGTGGGAACCCGTGTCAGCTACTACTATCTGGGCACGTTATACTTAAATTAAACAATAATCAGCGCTATAGATTTGAAACGCTCAGTAGATGATCTCTTTATAAATCCCGTTGGACCCGGGTTCTCCTGGGAGGTTTTAATCCCTCGGAAATGCCCTCCTGCAATATATAATTACCACAGGAATACTATCCATATACTCACAACATCACCCTACAATGCCTTTCCTCAGCCTCCCCAACGAAATACTGCTCCTTGTTACCGAAAATCTCACAGAGAATCCTCAAGACCTTTATCATCTCCTTTCCACCTCTCACCACCTCTACCATCTAACCATCTCTCGCTTCCACCGCCTTGCTCACCTGCCAAAAGATGGTGAACCTGCACTCCACTGGGCTGCTAGACGGGGACATACTTCACTTCTGCTGCTTCTATTAGCTCAAGGTGTAGACGTCAATCTTCGGAACAAAGCTGTCTCCGAGGAGACAGCCTTACACTCTATAGTAGACGTCAAGGCAGCCCCCATGATAACGAGGACCCTCCTAAAGCACGGTGCTGGAGTGAATCTACAAGATGTAGCAGGAATAACCACTCTTTCGAAGGCCATGATATTCCAGAAATACGAACTTGTGAAGGCTCTACTGGAAGAGGCCGACATTGATGTCAATATCCCCGACAACAAAGGCATCACTGCCCTACACTGGGTCGTTATTGGGGGTCGAGGCTTCAGCAGAGCCGAGGAAGTCATCAAGCTTCTACTCTCCAAAGGAGCATACATCGACCAACAGGATCATAGCAACATGAGCGCCCTCTACCACGCCATGTCCCGGAGCCACAGGCCCACCGTCCGGCTTCTTCTCCACAATGGTTCTAACCTCTTTCTGCAGCGCGAGCTGGGTTACATTGGGATCAGGCGTGCAGTGATGCACAACGACACCGAAATGGTTGAGCTTTTTCTGCAGCAGAAAGGCGCGGACGTGAATTATCGGGACCAGAGCGGGAAGACTCTGCTGCACTGTGCGGCAAGCTTGACAATTAATGAGGAGGGATGGGATTTGAAGAATGTTATTAAGCTGTTGGTGGAGAAGGGGGCGGATCCGAGAATTCAAGATAACTGTGGGGCTGTGCCGCTCGCGTTGGTGAGGAGCCCGAGTGATGAAATCAAGAGGTTGCTAGATCCTAGGACGGAGGTGGATACTTGTACAGTCCCAACTCCTCAATATCCCGAACCTCCAAGATACGAAGAATTTCGCATAGCAAATTGATTTTGCAGCAAGAAAATTAAAGCCCCAGAGGATTTCGTACGGGACAGCAAGGGATCCTGCGTATTGAGATCCGGCATATCGAGTTGCGACTGTAGGGCCTAGGGGCCGGGAGACCGGTGAGGAATACAGAATACCAGGATTACATAGAGAGTATTATCCAAGAGATTGAGAAACAGCTGATTGTATTTACATGTATATACATACTTACGTAGCTATACGAGGCACTTCTTTCGCAGTTTAACAGGTTCCGTCTTATTTATACAATTTTACTGCTGGATGGTTCAAAAGGCATTTTCGAGAAATTACTTACTATGGGTGTTTATTATGTTTGAGGCGTTTCTCATTTACAGCTAGCTATGTACTAGTAGCTAGTAGATGTTGTTTCTCGAAAGAAAAAAAACGTTTGTCATCCTGGATGAACCCTTTAACGGTCCCATCCCCATCCCACCCCTGTCTTTCAAATAAACGACCTTATAGACTAGTATCATGCCGTCAGCATAACTCAATCTAATATCTAACGGCCGGATAATACAAACCCCCGGTCACCGATAAATTAATGCAGCATCAGCTAAGATGTAGCCGGGAAACGCACAAGTGCAATTGAGATACATACATGTACTTTTTGCCATGTACCTACATAAACATGTAGCGTCTATATTGCCGATAGTACTAAAATCAATAGTAAACCCGGAAAAAGCTCTGCAGACGTATGGCATCGATTGACCAAAACGTTGATACATGTACTATACTTATCCCTTAAACCGTCAGGCTGAATTGTAATTAGAGGCATCTAGATTCTAATGCAAAGGTCGTGGTATAAGGCATGCCTATAGAAGGGTTATACGTTTGCAACACAGACATACATATAAATCCTGCGTGCGTTTATAATATCATGGTTTCCAGTAGGTATGGAGGTACTTTGCGTTAGATGCCTCCTCTAATTACAATTCGGCCTGATCGACGGTTTAGGGGATAGCTATGTATGTAGCTAGCTTTTATTATTGCGCAATTGCCCTCCACCCTGCAGTTGGCTATCAGCGACGTGATGTAAACAAGAAACCAGGGAGGTAAACAAGAAACCAGGGAGGTAAACAGGCAGGCAGGGAGGTAAACAAGAAACCAGGGAGGTAAACAAGCAGGCAGGGAGGTGATGTAAACATACATACTTGCCGGATTTTTTTCTGTCCAGCGAACCTATTCTTCCTGATACGGAAGAGTCGCAACGACTTTATCGCACCAAATATCTATCAAATTCACGAAGTTTTAGGGCCGTTGCTTCGTAGCACTCCCATATTTCCGGATGAGGAAGAAACAGCTGGACACAGAAAAAAATCTGGCAAGTACATACAGCCAGATAGATAGCCAGATAGCAGGCGAATGTTTCCCTGTTTGTTGCACGTTTTATGTCATGGATAATCAATCGGTCAGGGCCTCTTGCAGCAGCTCGAACTTGGCAACGTGCGTGCAGCTAGCATGCAGCGGTGCACAATGCAGTGCGGTTGAGTTGCGGGGGATGTGAGCTCGCTGGAGATTGATAGATGCATGCCTTGTGGGAGTCTGTGGGTAAGTGTGTCAGTCCTCGCGTCAGGGAAAAAGATCCAGAACATGCAAGTGAGAAAGCAGGGATTATTTGTATGGAGTGGCGCTGAGCTGCCATACAAACTAGGCATTTGCATGTTCTGGTTCTTTATCCTAGACGCGAGTAGGTAAGTGTGTCTGTGGGTAAGTGTAAGTAGCGGCGCGGGCGTGGGGGGTGGGTGGGTGGTTATGTAGGTTATGGTGGGTATGTAGTCGAGAGGTTGTGGAGGGTTGTGGAGGCAGAGGATATATGTAAGCCTGTGTGATGGACGGCTTGCCAGGGAATTAGATTGTTTGTAGAACCGGATGCTGATTGCAGATTGCAGGGGAGGGGTATGGAGCGGGTTTTTGTGCGCCACTTGGTTGTGGAGATTGTTCTTGTCTTTAATGTGGAGGAGTGGTGGTGGTGGTGGTGGTGGTGGTGGTGGTGGGAGGGTAGACAAGTAGAATAGAGTAGTTGGTTTAATTAGGCCAGGTAGTTACAAGTAGTACATGTAGTGGTCCGATCACAACGTAGCACCTAACGTGAATCGATTGTTTCGTCTAGTAGATAGATGTTTTGATAGTAGTATGTACCTGTAGTTTTGACCCTGAAATCCAGTTTCGCCTATTTGACAGTTGCGTGATTTCTCTCGCTCCTCCAGCTAGTATGTATGTACTCCCCGGTGTCCATAGTGCCTGCCACAACCACCACCATGAAACCACAACCTCACCTGGCATACATTTCTCGTCTAGAGCAGAGTAATAACTCCTCCTGCGTCGCACGAACCATCAGCTGTCATATTCTTCACTCCTCTACATACCTCGCAGCCACAGACAGCACAGGTGATTTAGTCTCCTCGGAGCGATATATCCAGTACCCTCCCTCACTCCCTCCACCCAGTCAGGTACATAACATTCGAGAGCTGCTGGGTGGAAATGATGCGCTGCACGCCAAGCGCTGAGTACACGCTAGCACGGGAGCTATCCATGCACACACCCCTAACCCTGCACCACGCTAGCTCGCCCTGTGCTGTACCAAGCTTTCTCGCACTCACCACACATCGCTCCCTCACCAGACATCACCCACCCCACACACCCACCCCGCAAACCAATTAACCCAGAATGACCCAGCCCCCACACGCCGCCGCCGGGCCCTCCACCGCTGCTGCCGCCGCCGCTGCCTCAAAGCCCTCTGAATCGCACCAGACACCGCTACAGATCCTGCCCGCCATGCTACACGCCGTCGTACGTCTCCCTTCCCATCCACTGCCCCCCCCCCCCCCCCAATCACCCCTCTGACGCCCGAATGAACACCCCTAACACACCCCCAGTTCTGCCAAACAGCCGACGTCTTCAACACCCCCCAGCGCCAGCAGCCCCGCGCCGTAATCCACACAAACGCACAGCTCCGCACATCAGTCTCCGCCTGCAACGAGCGCTTCCAATATGCGCTCGATCTGCTAGAGATGGATATCGTACCTCCCCCCCCCCCCCCTCCCCTCTCTCCTTCCCTGCCTTCTCCCCCCCTGGGGTGCTGACGCGCAAGACACATGGTAGTTAAAAGCCAAAGCCACCCTCCGACGGGACCTCTCCGCCCTCCGCGCGGCCGAAGAAGCGCGCGAGGCCGAGGCCGCAAAGGAGCGCGAGCGCGAGCGCGCAAAGGCTGAAGCAGAGGCTGCAGCTGCAGCTGCAGCCGCGGCAGCAGTGGAGGCGAAGAAGCAGCAGCAGATACAGCAGCAGCAGTTGCAGCAGCAGCAATTACTACAGCAGCAGCAGCAGCAGTTACTACAGCAACAACAGCAACTACAGCAACAGCAATTACAACAGCAGCAGTTACAGCAGCAGCAACAACAGCAGCAGCAACAGCAGCAGCAGCAGGATATAGTAATGGCCGACACCCCCGCCGCGCCCGCCGCGCCGCCGGCACCGATGCAGACGACGGCGGCCGCGCAGAACTTTGATGACTTTTTGGCGAGCTTTCCGGTGGGTGTTGGGGGCGTGCAGGGGCAGGGGCAGGGGCAGGGGGGCATGATGATGGTGGGATGGGCGGCGGGCAGCCGCTGGAGGATAGTGATATATTTGCGGGCGAGTTTAATGATTTGTTTGGGTATGGGGGCACTTAGTTGGGCTGTTTGGGAATGTGGGTGGGGGGGGGGGGGTTGTGGGTTTTGTTTTGTGTTTTTGGGGGAGTTATGGGTGCGTGGAGGGGGGAGAGGGGGTGGGGGTCGGGGTGGGGTGGGGTGTATATTAGTGGCGGTAGATAGGGAATTTAAGGAGTAATGCGGTGGTGTAGAGTTTTTTCTTCTCTTTCTTATATTAGTAGATCGATAGATACATAGCAGTAGTAACAACCCGTGATAATCATCATCATTGTACTGTCTCTCAGCGAGCGTGAACAAACCGAGTGATTTCTGATGACGCCCTCCACCCATCCAGCGCAGCTAGCTAGGAAACATCACGTACCTTACAAATATATTCACCAGCTATCTGGTTGCGTGACCTAAGTGCTTGTGTCTTTGTGTGCGTGCGTGTTGTGTATGTTTTCTACACCCCCCACGCAAACCTAACCTATCCTTCTCTCGCTACCGCCCTGCCGCGCCAGACGCGGAGCTATAGTAGCTGGCGACGTCACGGGCATGCTCAGGGTCCATATGTACGTGTTTCTCCGGCGCTCTTGTAATGCACATGGTGGACCCTGTTAACACGCGTGCTGCGTTGCGTTGCGTCATAACCCGACTGGGAAACCCTCACAGTGAGAGAGGTTTAAATTGTAGCTGCCCGCCTACTATTTCTTCTGTTTGGACTTTAGTTGGAATAGAGTAACGTAATATATTGCAAGCTACCACTAGTTAAAGCTACTATAAAACCCCGCCTTGAAACATTCGCTCCCCCTTCTCTCGGGGTCTTTCCGTACTCACGAGCACCTACTACATATATGGATAGATCTAATAACGCTTCGTACCCCACTAGTTGAGAAATAGGGGTCCACTATAACTGGTACTAGGCGAAGCAGGCACCGAATATTATAAAGCCCCAGGTGGTTAATATATTTAGATTGATGCAGTACTAGTAGCTAGGGCCGATCATTGGACAGGTATCTGCAATGCTCAACACCCAGGTTATACTCCGAGTGACGCGACATGACGCGCGCTAACTCCTCGCCGCCAAAACCATAATTGATATAAAAACACCAAAAGCTGTGAGTATTCGATCTGAATGCTCGTATGATCGATCATCCTGGTAAATGTTAGGTGTGTCCCCTTTCCAAGGATGATGCGGCGAGTCGTAAAATTCAAATACCGACGATGCGGCCAGTGTACTAATCTAGAACAAAACAAAAAGTTGCAATGGACACCACTAACCCCCCAACCCCAACTCTACTACCCTGCTATCCCACCAAACAAACCCCCGCACAGCAAATCCTTTTGTCACCATTGAAAATTTCAAGTCGCAAAGTCCCAGTTAAAGGTAAATAAGTATGCAGAAAAGAAAGAAAATCTCACAATAAAATCAGGAGAGATAAAAAACGATAGAACAAAAAAAAGAAGGAAAAAAACGAATATACCCGCATGCCCTCTCCCGGCCTCAAAGAGGAAACGAAACAAAAGAAAGAGAAAGAAGGAAAGAAAAAAAAAAATACCACTCCCTAAATTTCGTATCGTACTAAAGGAAAACCCCTTCTATAAAGCCCCCCTGCTCAGTGAGCTCTCATCCTACTTCTTCGTCGGCTGCGCCACTTCTCCCTTCACCTCTACCACAGAATCCAGAGTCTTCAACCCAGGAAACTTGCCAGTGGGATCTAAACGCACAATCATACAACTGAGATTATCCGAAGAAAACCTGCCCAAAGCATAGTCTACAAGCATTTTACTCGCTTCCTGTGGGTCCTTGACGGCGTGAACGAGATCGACTGCTTCCTGGTCCGAACAAACATCCCAAAGCTACACAAAGAAAGTCAGCACAACTGGTGTGAATGCAACGCAAGAAATGCCAAAACTTACGCCATCACAAGCAAGTATAATGAATTCGTCTGCTTCGGGCTGTAGGACAGTTTCCGTGGTGTAAGGATGTCCTGTGACTAATTCCTTCATATAACTGTCTCCTAGGGCACGAGTGACAGCCAGAACCCCTATACGTCCCAATGTCAGCTAATAATTACAAGACGGAGGGGCGAGGATTGAGTCATGACTGACCGTTGACACGGTTGTTTAATATCAAACCTCCAGCGTTTGCCACTCTTTTCCCTTCATTTTCATCGCTTCCCTTATGATCATAACTCAGCCTTAGAGCTTTGCCATTTCTGCAAAGTACAATCCTAGCATCGCCAACGTTGGCTGTATATAGGACTCTCTGTCTTTCTGTCGCCAAGTTTAGGGAGGGTTTCGAGTTTTCGTCGTTGACTGCTCCCTTCCCTTTGGCAGCATCCAACTGCCCAGCACTATTCGGCACCGGCCTATCCTCCCACCTCAAAACAGCACAAACAGCTGTACACCCACTATTCCTGACAGGTAGCTTTTCTAGCTGTCCGTCACAGTTGGTAAAGGTCATGTCCAGTAACTCGGGTATGGGGTGTTGGGATGCTTTCTGATTGTGTCCTCCAGAACCAGATGCAATTTCTTTCCACACCAATCGGCAGCATATGTCCCCGCATGGCCATCGAAGATCGCAAAGTATCCATTGTCTGATTCTACTGTCTCCTCGGTCGAGTGCGTAGACGCAACTCCAGAGGTGTTGGTAGTACTTGATGTAGGTGTAGCTGGCGGCAAGGTTGGCAAGAAGTTATAAAGAAATGAGTGGGTATCCTCCATGGTCCTTCGACATTTTTTATTCTTATCCTCCGTCACGCCAACTCTGAACGTGCTTTTGGGGCCTGGCTTTGAATCGCCCGCAGAGTTGTTGTTAGGACCTACGACAACTGTAGGGAGATCATCCTTTGGTGCAGTAGTTTTCGTTTCCTTTTCCTTTTCCTTTTGCTCGTTATTGTTGCCAAGGTTTGTGATCGAATTCTTAGCAGAGGCTATGAAGGCTGACGTTTTAGAACCAGAGCTCCCCTTCTTTCCCTTTTCCGCGAATGGAGTACTGTCGGTGGGAAGCTGGTTGGCAATCTTTGTATTCAAAGTAGGCTCAGCATCAGCTGTTGATGGAGCAGATCCGTTGTTGTTACTGTTGTTACCGAACATCCTGGCGAAGAGACCGCCGGCGCTGGATAACGAGCGTCGCTTTCCAGCCAGCTTTCCTATGTGCGATTCTAGTGCCGGCCGCGTTGGAGGCTGGTAAAGTATTTTCTAAACTGGAATCGAGCGATTTTGAAGTTGTGCCTGGAATGCTATGACGTTTGAATTTAGGTTTTGACCGTTGCTCTCAGTGTTTCTAAGTATACAAGTGCGGGGTGCGGGAATTTCTGCTCAGAGAGGATCTCTGTACGTGGCACGATACGGATAAGCTGATACCGGCCAGGGGAGGGGTTTATTTTGCTGGGTCAACCTATTTGATCAGTTAATTCTGCACAGGATGCAGAGTAATATATGCAGGCCCAAGCGTCTTTTGAACCGTACCTTCGGTACCCGAGTTTCTTGCTCAAAGTAGATCCTTAGAATGATGTTTATAAGAGTAAAGGTGGTGGCAGGGGAGGTTTGGTGGATCAAGTTTGACGGTACTCAATATGAAAGAATGGAGAAGATGTGTCGATAGCGGAGGGGGCTGATGGATAGAGCAAACTTCGGAGATGTAGATGAATGGCGTAAGTGAGGCGAGCAGAAGGTATGAGGTCTACGAACTGGTAAGTAGTTCGTGAGAGGGGTGAGAGCCTGGTTGTGTGGCAGCAGTTCGTGTCCAATACAATACTACGTAGTCGCCAAGACCGCTTACAATTGCCCCCCTGAACACTCCGTCATCGTCTCTTCAACTCCACGCAGCTATCCATCGCCGGTGCTAACAGAAGGTGCAGCTCCGGCCAGGTCAACATCGGTATACGATTATGTACAAGAAAGGGGATAAATTCTACAATTAGTAACCGTAGAGCTTTAGTATGGTGTATCCACTAGTTTTTGTTCAATGTCAATGAATGTACACACTCGAACTGTTGAGTACATGTAGACAGACAGTCAATACTTCTTTACAGGGATTGACCAAGAGAACAAAAGTCTTCAAAGATTGGGCCAAGTATGGGTGAAAAAACAACGAAAAACTGGTTCAGCTGACAGCTATAAAGTTAAAGAGTACGAGAAAAATAAATAGTGAGTAAGTGAGTGGTCGAGGCACTTACACGGATAGCGTTACTGATAGTGTTTGCCATAGAGTATATTGTATATACCCTGGATACATGTAGGTAGATAGAGTAGGGGACAAATTACTGGCCTTTAAAAACTGTGAACGACCTCTCATACTAATGCATCAAAACTTAAATAATGTGATGTCTTTGAGCTTGCTTGGTAGGCCCCGTTACAATTGAATACTGGCCGTGTGTGATAGACTGCACCCGTCAAATCAACCCACCAACGAACAATGAACAAAGCAAAAGCTCTGATGCTGGTCCGTAAGCATAAGTTTAAATTATATACGTACCTGCGTAAAGGAGGTGAGAAGAACCAGTCACGGGACAGAGCGCGCCAGACAACAAATACTTGTACCTATCATCAAAACACCCTACCAGTCACTACCAAAAGTACCATGTAGGTACATAATACCGTAGGCATTTTTCTCAATAAAGTCTCTTTCGAGCTGTGAGCCAAAAAAAAAACATGTTCGCCTGCAGGATGAGAGCAAATAGAACTCTTTGCAGTAGTTCGCGGAGGGCATGACGGCTGAAGCAGGATAAAGGCGCACAAGAGACGTTTTTTGCCCCCCCACACAGGACACATTGCACACCCACCTTTCACACGAGCCAACCAGCGCTTGCGGTCCACACCCAAATCAGCGCCTCACCTCCCCCTCTCTTCGCTTACTCGCAGTTTTCTTGTCTTTTTTACACCACTTTTTTTTTCCTTCACTCTCTTCTCCTCTCCTGGTCCGCTACCTTTTTTCTTCCTAACCTCTATTTCCTTCTTCTCTTCTTCACTCACCCCACCTCTTCGTCTCCACACTTCATCACTTTTCCTTTCTCCTTCCCCCTCCCCCTCATCTTCTCATCATCATCCTCTCCATTTCTCTTGACATCTCCTTTCCTCTCGAGGCGTTTGGACCGGAAAATTGCCTTTTTGTTTTTCTCTCGTCTTCCCTTTCGCTCCTGTTCCACCCTCCCTTTTCATCTCTTAGTGTCTTGAAGAGGTGGTATAGGATTGCGTCCTCGGTTTTCACGGCTTTTTTTCAAATTGTCTCCACTTTTTCTCTCTCCTCTATCTTTCTTCTATCTCTCTATCTCTCTATCTCTCTCTTCTCTTAGCGCGCTTCAACTATCGCGTGTATCTTCCTCATCCTCGTCATTATCACTGGAATTCCAGGTCGATCTCTGGCAGCGTTCTTTCTTCGTCGTTGTCGGGTTTCCTTTCAGGCTTTCTCGATTTTTTTGTCGACTCGAAACGAGAAAATAAACACTTTGCTTGCGCTGTCTTAGACAAAAACGCTCAAAAAGAAATTTTCAAGTGGAACTACTTGCACCCGCAAAATTCATTTCATCATGTCTCAAGACCAAAATAATGCTCCTGGCCAAGGGAATCAATCCAGCCATATGCCTCCTCCACCTCTCCCCCCAGTCATTATCCCGCAGAACACGAACCCGATTCCGACGGCCATCACTTCGCCGATGTCGGTTTCCGGTGTGACCTCACCCACTTCTGCTGGGGGGTTCGTCCGCCGTGCCGCACCCGAGCCAAACAAGAGAGCCTTGTACGTTGGCGGAGTGGATCCCCGCGTTACCGAGGAGATTCTAAAACAGATTTTTGAAACCACTGGCCATGTTCAGAGCGTCAAAATTATCCCTGACAAAAACGTACACATACCCCGCTATTCCGCCCCTCCTTTTCCCCTCCTATAAAGTGTCACTCTGTAGTCTAACTGTGTCTACTCAGAGTAAGGGGTACAACTATGGCTTCATTGAATACGATGATCCTGGTGCGGCTGAGCGTGCCATGGCAACTTTGAATGGAAGAAGGATCCACCAGGCTGTATGACCCCCCACTCCTCCAATTGTAAATATTCGCCTGACGAACAAAATTAGGAAATTCGTGTCAACTGGGCATATCAATCCAACCAGTCTAGCAAGGAAGACACTACTAACCACTTCCATATCTTCGTCGGTGACCTTTCCAACGAGGTCAACGATGAAGTCCTTACCCAAGCCTTCTCTGCCTTTGGCTCAGTTTCTGAGGCCCGCGTTATGTGGGATATGAAGACTGGCCGCTCCCGCGGTTACGGTTTTGTCGCTTTCCGTGAGCGCACTGACGCCGAGAAGGCTCTGAGCAGTATGGATGGAGAATGGCTTGGTTCTCGTGCGATCCGCTGCAACTGGGCTAACCAGAAAGGCCAGCCCTCTATCTCTCAGCAGGCCGCTATGGCTGCTATGGGAATGACTCCTACTACTCCCTATGGTCATCACCATTTCCCGACCCATGGCGTTCAGAGCTATGACATGATTGTCCAGCAAACACCCCAATGGCAAACAACCGTTTATGTCGGTAATCTTACACCTTACACAACCCAGAATGACCTTGTTCCATTGTTCCAGAACTTTGGTTACGTTGTCGAGACTAGGTTTCAAGCAGACAGAGGGTTTGCATTTGTCAAGATGGACACTCATGAGAATGCTGCAATGGCAATCTGCCAGCTCTCAGGGTACAACGTGAATGGAAGGCCGCTGAAGTGTAGCGTACGTATATTTGTTCTCTACAGCACTCATTATCAAGTAATACTGACAAAATTTTAGTGGGGTAAGGATCGCCCCCCAACTGGCCAATACGACGGATATTCTCCGCAGCAGCCAAACACTCCTCAGTACCCTCCACAGACCCCTTCTGCGTACTTTCCACAATACGGTAGTCCTATGGCTCCCCAGGGTCCTCCCGGATCTGCTGGTGGTCCAAATGCTATCCAAGGTCATGGTCCCCAGTCACCAGCTGGTCCATCTCCACCTGGTAGATGGCAAGATCAATCACAGGGCTTCGGAGGACCACAGACTGGGTCCGGCTATGGAGGAGTCCCACAGAGTGCTGGTGGATACGGTCGTGGAAATGGCGCCGGAACTCCTGGAGGTTGGGGCAACAACTCCGTTGGAGGTTTCGGAACCAACGGCTTCGGAGCCTACCAGCAGCAGTAAATGCTGCCTATCCGAATTCTACATGTTGGTTTTCAATCAGTCCATACGTCCGTTTTGGTGCGGAGAGAAAAATTGTCATGGGAACCCACAATACGTGCGGCGAATTAAAATTTCTATTTTGTTTTTCTTGAGACAAGTGGGGCTGAAGGCTTGTCTAAGTTTGAAAAGTGCGGCGGAAGATGTTTCGTTGGCTTCGTTTTTTCTTATCTCTTTTTTTCTTACCATTTATTCCCTTTGGATTTTCTCTCATTTATCCCCCTCGTCTGTCGGAATTTTGCTTTGGATCATGATTTCCGGGTTGTGCGTGTTATCTTTTCACTAAAAATGTTTCGCTTTTCCTTGTCTTTCCTTTGCCTTTTTTCCAGGACCTATTATGATTACGTTTTTCTCTGGATTTATCTGATGACTATCTCATTATTTACCCTTCTTTACGTTATTATCTCTATGGCAGTTATATGTGCTATTGGGAAGGGAAGGGCGAGCAAAACGTTGGTGCATATTTTTATTATCTTTTAACATGGGGCTTTATTGACTTGCGACTGGCTTTGGCCCATGGGCCAGACCGGAGGATGGTGAGAGCATGGGTTGCGGGTATGGGTATGAGAACAGAAAAGTATTCTGAAAGGTTGTGATTCCTTTGTTGTGTCTTATTACCTCATATTTGGGATCTTTTTCATCCATCTACTTTTATCATTTACTCTACTCTCGTATTCATTCTATCGGTCGTTATCTCTCTCCTCGTATTTGGTTCGTTTGATTCTTCGGATCACATTTCTACCGACAGCAGTCACGCTTCATCATTCGGTATATTTTGAGTTCTATACCTATTTCTTTCCTTCCAGCCCAGGTAGTTCTTTTGATTATCTTTTTCGTCAAAGTCAGTCTGGGATTTTCTTTTGGGCGCAGGCTTTTGGGACTTCTGTTTTCTTTTGGTGCATCGTATCGTTGGTTGGGTAAAAAAAAACAAAAAGGTCGGCTTTTATTAATCCTTGATAATTCTTAATGATTCTATGCAATACCAAATTTTGTACAAGCACATACATTTATCTCATCGATGTTTGGCTACATGTATAATTGGGGTTCATATCGCTTTTGTTGCTTTGTAGGACTTTGTGGGAGTTGTGGGTGTTTCTTCTTATTTCGATGATCAGCCTGCTGCAGGATACTTCAATATTAGGAGTTGTTCCTGCAGCTAATTATGATAATGCTTAGGGTCTGTTCGGTTGACACAAAAATCCATAGATTGGTTGCAATCTATGGATTGGGCTCGATAAAATAATCACCTCCAGAGGCGTTTTTTTTATTCAATCCATGGATTGCAACTAATTCAACGTCAACCGAACGGAGTCTTAATGAAAAAATCAAATTTTAGAGTGATAGTTGATGAGAATTCCAAAATTAAAGCCTAGAGCCTTATTTTATCACAGCGCAACACACTCCTTGAGTTTGGATCTCGAACATGGTATCCTTTTACCATGTTTAGGTAAACGTATGGAGGCGTTCAGATGTAACATTCACGTATCAGGAAAGCATCCACTCATATCAGCTTTGAAGTAGCCGCGTGTGGGGCGGATATTCTCTCAGTTTGTTTAACGCAGTTTCTAAACTCTACTTTCACGCCCTTAAATGGAAACCAATACTTATCACTTATCACTCCAACGTATATTTGATCATACCTCAAGGCGTGCTGACCATAGGCACTAGTGAAAAAGTCTACTTTACTACGATAGAAAATGCACCAGGAAATATGTCTACACCAATAAAATTAATAGATAACCACCTTGGCGCCAAGTCTAGTTAGGCTCGTAAGTTGTGGGACGTCAAACCCTAACCCTAACCATTATGTACCTACACATCATAAGTTGTAATTTCGATCATTGACATCATCCCATGTGTAAATGGATGAGGTGTGTATCCACAAATTACTCCATGGCTTATCATGAACAGTCTTGGGATATATTTCATAGCTTCCTGGTAGTCTGATTATAGTGTTCAACATGATAATACACCAACGTAAATGAATTGCAAGTTCAGCCTCAGCCTTGTCTACAGAACATCACAACGAAAATACGAACACCACGTGCACAGCCGACATAAGTATACAAATGGGAGCAGGAAGTAAATTGTACACAAGTAAAAAAAAACAGGCTTGCGCTTTAAGTGGAATAAAAAAGTTGTATGAAGAAAGGCTCTCAAAACATCCCAAATGGAAAAAAGAAAAAAAGAAAGAGAAAAAAAAGAAAAGAAAAAGAATGCGGTTTTATGCATCTATATACTCGCGCGTTAATTAAGTAGTCGGATATTGTTGCAACCAAATGCTTACTAAAAATTCCAACTTTTTAATTAACGACTGAGTATACTTCACCCGTAAATCAAATATCGCCTTTGCCCAAAAGAAGAGCTCTAAATTCGGATTGCCGATCACGACTGGGTGCTGATGATGGAAGATCGACGCAAACCAAATTATCGGGAAATGAAGCTGTCTCTATTTGCGCAAAGACTCTAATCTAAATCATATCGGACACCTGTGATGACGGAGTCAGTGGGTTGACAACATTCGGGAGAAGGGTCGAGGGGAAATATATACTGTTAACATGTTCATTGCGATCGAGGTACGGGATTTCGAAATTTCGGCCCAAGCCGGTCCCGCCAGATTGCCTAGGTCTTAGTTTACTGGCCAAGTAAAGGTTCGCCCGGGCGGTAGCTCCGAGTTCTGTGCTCTGCTCAACGGAATGAGGGCCGGGGGAGGTTGTCGAGGGAGTGGATAGTTGTGGTAGAAGTTGTAGTTATTGACCACCATGCTACGGTGATTCTCGGCTTCGATGACGGCAGGATTCAAATTTACTGCTGATGCGGCGTGATTTGCTTCTGGGTCTTCGCTAGCTGTCTTGAAGATAATTTAAATCATCAGCAATTATAAATAATAAATTGGATATTTGCAGGAGTTAATACAATCTGTCTCTGACGTCCCTTCCGGAACTTCTTTACCTGAGCAACGATTGCACAGAGACAATATGTACCGAAAACGGATGCAAGAACTCCTACTATGGCTATTATTTGATCCCGGTCTAGGCTCCCATTGCTTTCGTTGCGAGGGTGAATACTGCGCTTGTCCATCGGATTTAGTGAATTTGAAATATCAGACTAAATAAGTCAGTTAGTTATAAGGAGGATAAATCTCTATATATGTGTATCCCCCCAATTCCTGCAGTTAGAACATACATGTACTTACATGAGTCGAGTGCTGTCAGTTGAGATATATATGTATTGTATTGTATCGAGAATGAATGGAGGAAAATTCGAAGAAAGAAAAAAAACTATAGTTTTATCAACGTCCCCGTAGCACATACCTGGATACATAGCGATTGGGGATTGTATTAGGGCTCGGGTACTTTTTGCCTGAGCTGCCTTGGAGGTTGCGTTGTACTGTTGGTAGGACTAGTACGCGTACGGCCAATTGAATCAAGTGGCTCGGGTAACGAACGGTACCTACATCGTTTATAGGGGACCCCCCATCTCAGAATTCCATCTTGGAGACCGTGGATGAAAGGAGCCTGGTGTTTGGGGCGGGCCTATTGGCCCAATTCACATGCACGCGAGTTATACATGTATCCAACCAACTAACTAGAGTTCGTGCATACATAACCTCCGCCGCCCGCTTGGATTTTACGGTAGATAATTCTAGCTAACTAGGGCTGCACGAGAGTTCGTGCATACATAACCTTCGTCGTCCGCTCCGGATAATCCCCACCTCCAACCAAACCAGGCCGTCCGTCACCTCCAGATAATTCTCACCTCCAACCAACCAGGGTTGCGCGAGAGTTCCTGCATACACAACCTTCGTCGTTGATCCGCTTTAGACAATTCTCACCTCCACACTAACAGCAGCAGTACCTTAAACCGTCAGGCCGAATTCAAATGGCAGCTGTTAATCACATTGAGTAAAGACGATGGATTGAACGCTGGTTTCAGTCATACCTTCACGCCTGCTGCTTATAAAATACATTGCAGACCGTAATAGATATCTCCACCCGCAGAGTTCACAATATTGACATGCTTAATGAATGTGGTTAACAGCTGCCATTTCAATTTGGCCTGACGGTTTAAGGGATACAGCGCTGGACAGTCAAAACCAGCCGCCTCAACCTTCACCCCCATCGACTTTCAACAACGCAATACTTGTCCATAAATAATACCCTTCGCAAAGTGGGTCTAATTATAGTTATAAACAATCCCGCAAAAGGGGATTTAAAATAAATAAAAATTCGTTGCACTACGACCTCTCGAAAATTTCTGCCGGGGAGACTTTTCTGCCAAGACCAAGCCTAATTACTCTAGATGAAGCTTATTACCCGATTGGGATGATTAATTGAGGATTATTGCCCGAATAGGACTAGTTGCTGTGTTTGAAAAGAACATGAGGGTTAATTTTGTCGACCCGCAAACACCTAGTTACTAGTGGAAACCTTACGGTGTAACTAAAAGACTCCATCGAATCAAATGGTCTAACTGGTATGCGCATACATAACTGGCGGAGGACAGGGTGGAGGGAGATCTAGATAAACCCGGAGGGCGGGGGGTGGGGCATTAATTGTAATATGCCTAGGGAACTTGATAAACATAATTCAAAGCACGACGGCTTTTGACTTTTTGGCCTTTGACTTGCAATTTCTGAACTCGCAATCTTTAAGCTTACTATAGATACTTATGAGATGTAGAATAAGTTGTAGAATTGCGTTTAGTGTTCCTACACATATGATAGCTAATTGCGGTTTCGGATGTCTCGAGGATATATCATTCATTTAGGTGTGGCATTAAAAGAAATCTGTGGTATCACAGTACAGTAGTTTTTAGTTCGAGGCCGCCTAAATTTATAAAGAATTGTTACAAGCCAATATAAAGAAATCAATCTTTTGTCCTCCAAGACCTGGCGTGGGCGGCTTCAATCCAGTAGTACGGGTACATATATCTGACGGCTCGAGCTCTAGTACTAATCACGC